CCGGGACCCCGGGACCCCGGCTCGACACCCCGAGTCCTGGCACCCGGGGCCCAGACACGGCAACCCCGAGGGGCAGCACTTGGAGCTTAGACACTGCCCCTGACCGGCCTTCTCGTTCAGATGACCCCAGCCCAGGTCACTCCAGGCCTCAGTTTCCCCACCTGCTGCTTGACAACGGTCCCGGCGTTTTGGAGCCCATCACGATAGTTTCTGGATTCAGGCTCGGGCCCTTTAGGTCGGGCAGTGAACCCCTCCCCTTTCTCCTGGAGCCCGAACCCTGAGACTGGCCAGACGCGGGAGGCCCGAAGCGCCGGCTGCTCTCGCAGGCCCTCGCCTCCCTGGGGCTGCTCCCCGCTCCCCGCTCCCTGCCTGGGTCGCGCTGTCCTGTCGCTTCCAGCGATCCGTCCCTCCCCGCCCTCTCCCCAGTTCTGCCCAGGTCCCCAGCGCCACCGTCACACCCCTTCCCCTTGCTGTCACACTGCCGGTGAAGTTTAGATGACTGTGGAATTTGCGTCCCCCCTTCCAGTGGGATTCTCTGGTCTTCAAACTCTCCTCACTTCTTGGTCACTCCCGCTGCGGGTAGGTGGCCCACGTCTACTGCCCTGGGCTTCTAATGTTCCCCAAGTATCAGTTATCTTCCTCCTCCTTGTCTGCCACTTCCTTTTTCTCCTCCATATCCAGGCCTCGGGCTTCCTTGGGGAAGCTCTGAGCTGGATTAGAAGGGGAACAGAGAAGGAACCACAGGCTCTCGCAGAGACCTTGGCATCTGACCCGGTTTGAGTCTTAAAGTCATCAGCTGTGTAACTTAGTCACTTCCCTTCTCTCACCTCTGGTTTCCCCATTAGTTGGGGACAACAGCACTGACTTCATTGGACTGTTTTGAAGATTAAAAGATGATGTATCTGAAGTGCTTTGCACAGGGCCAGTCACAAGTAGGAAGTCAGTAAATATTTTTTTTTTCGAGTTGGAGTCTCACTCTGTCGCCCAGACTGGAGTGCAGTGGCACGCTCCTGGCCACCACAGCCTCAACCTGCTGGG